TGGCTAGTCTGGCTATGATGTGCCTTGGAGAAGATCTTCTTGGGTTGATTCTATTAGAGGTCCTTTGTATTTCTTGGGTCTGGATATTTGAATGCCTCTCTAGATTTGGGAAGTTTTCTTCCAGGATTTCATGGAATAGATTATCAATGCCCTTACTAGTTTCTTCACCTTCTGGGATACCAATTATCCATATGTTTGGGCACTTAATGCTGTCTAGTATTTCTCATACAGTATTCTCTTTTTTTCGGTTATTTTCTCAGTTTTTTTGGTTGTTTTTTCTAGATCAGAGGTTTTGTCTTCCACATCCAAGATTTGATTTTCTGCATGGACTAATCTACTTTTAATACTTTTGAGGGAGGTTCCCTGAATGGCAGCCTTCATCTCTAATATCTCCATTTGATTCTTTTTTATGGTGCATATTTCCTCTTTCAGATCATGGAAGAACTTCAACTCCTCCTGGAACTCATTGTCTCTTTTCTCCTGCATCTTCTGAGTTCATTATCTCTCTGTTCTTGCATCTTGTTTAGTTCAGTCGCTACGAATATTGTGAATTTTCTATCAGACATTTCCATGAGTTCTACTGTACTGTTTGTGGATGATGAGGGATTGTTCTTTTCCCTTAGGGGAGGTATATTTTCTTGGTTTCTCATGTTTCTTATGCCTCTGCAGTGCTTTCTGGTCATTCTGTGACAAAATCTCTCTTCCACTTGTCTGAATATTTCAGGAGTCTAGAAGATGAAGTTTAGAGCATAGCTTCCCTCAATCATAAACATCATTTAAAGAATATCTTAAAGGGAGCAGGACAGTGACACAGCAGTGGTGTAGTGCCCTGAAAGGCTGACCCACAGGAGTGGGTTCTGGATTCTCATCTGGGGATCTCCCTGAACATGTTGAGTAAACATGTGCCCATGACCCAAAGATGGACTAGGTTGGGGGTGGATTGTAGCATCAAGACCATTTTGGGGTCCTGTCTGTCTCTTACTTATAGAAGATCTCCTTTTAAAATCTAGGCTGTATTTTTCTGGAACGAGCATGGTGGACTTCTATTACTATACTACCTTCAGCTAATTTCTCTGAGAAACACTCTGTGAATGCTTAGTTTCAAGCTTATGAAATGGGATAAAAAAAAAAAACTTGGGAGCTGAGGGCTTATTCGTGTGAGTAGTGCCTGGGGGAAGAGCTTCTTCAGAAGCCTAAGTGAACTCAGAGGGGACTTTATCTGAGTTGTGAGGAGGCAGCACAGCTGAGGGGGAGAATATTCTTAAAAGACCCAAGGTCATTGGTTTAAAAGTGGTCCTGAAGGTCCATTTCAAAGTTGAAGGCAAGAGCCAAAAGGAAAGAGGGAACAGTCAGGAGAAAGCTGTTTAAAACAAAAGCTGTGAATAGCAAGAAAAACTCACGTACAGGAAGTTCCCTGCTTGTACGTGGGGACAAGGGAGCAGAAGGTCTTCAGTCATAGGTGGTACCTCCCTGTGTCTCAGTGGAAGACACCACATACCTTTTCTGCTGGGCAGCTCACAGATGCCAGGAAGACACCCGGGACCTGGCAGACGACTGTGTGTGTGTGTGTGTGTGTAGCATCCTTCCTCTACCGAAAGAAAACTGATATTTGTCATTGTGGTGGGCCTTCAGTACAGGACTCTTGCCCTTTCCAGCACCCCGCTCTCTAACCATGAAGACCCTTGCCCTGATAATTAGTATCAATTGCTGTGTGTTTGTAACCTCACCTGCCCAGTGAACTAAATACCAGTGCTGGGCACTGACAAATAATGATGATATATATGATATATTACACTTGTAACAATAAGTATGTATTGTATGTCTGCTGTATAAAGGTCCCTCTTTTGCTCTAGAAAAAACAAATACATCCTCAGATCCTCCCTGTGAGCTATGCCAAGGGTTTCATGGATGGAGAAGCATTTCACAAGACCCCTTCCCCCTTCCCGTAGTGGATCACTACAAGGTAAAGAGCAATTAACTTTTTTTTTCCTGTTATTGGACATGTGCACTCTCTAGAGAGAAATGGAGAGAGAAAGAGGAAGTGAGAGAAAGTGAGAAATCACCCCCCATGAAGGAGGGTCACACCGCTCGCTTCTTCTCCATTCTCCTCTCAGGATTTTGGATATGCAAGCACGAATGTGTTTTCTAAGCTGCTGGATCTAGGACTCAAATCACGTGGTCAGCCGTGTGGGATCCAGAAGCCTCAACCACCACACATTGGCTGACTGAAAAGTAATGAACTTTGAAAGCTTCTTTCAAATTGACTGCATCACCCTATATTAGTTTCTTCACAGCTTTTTAAACAGCCTGATGTATTTTCCTGTTCATTTGTTTATTGTCTGTCCCCATTCACAATCATGTTTTCCCAGGCCAACACTAAATGGCATCTCAGCAAATGTTGGTTGAAATGAAAACATGAGTGCATAAGTGAGCAAAGATCACAAGTGAAATCTACACTTTAAAAATAGGGACTAGCAGATGGCGTAATGGTTACATCACTGGACTCTCCCACGTAGTCAACCGCGGTTCAAGTCCCAGACCAAGTGGCTTAAAACTCATGCCAGGTGCGTGTGCATGCATGCTCAAGATCCCAAGAGGGGAGAATGGAGGAGAAGGGATTGCGGCATGGCCATCCTATGGGGAGGGGTGGTGGTGGTGATTTCTTACTTTCTATTTCTCTCTGTCTCTCTGATGAGTGCATGTGCCCTATAGCAAAAATCTCTCTCTCCAGAAAAATATAGGGCTCAAGAGGCCAGATGGTGGTACAGTGGTAAAACATAATGTTCTGTGAAACAATCCCACTTGGGAAGGTTCCTAGTTCAAATATGGAGACCTCCCTGAGTTCTCTGGGTATGTGCCTGTCCATAGTCAAGGACTGGCTGCAGCTAAGGGTAAATAGTGACACTGAAGCTTTTTTGATTCTCTCTCTCTCATGTTCATGGAAGAAAGAAATGAATAAAGTTTTAAAAAATAAAGAGAAGCTTCAATAGAGATACGCTTCCAATCAAGAAAATAAAAACCTTGATTTAAAAATTGATAGAGAAGAATGTTGTTATGATGTTTCAAAAGGGTACAACTGTACAAATAGAGAGGCATGACATTAGTGGGACACAGAAATGGTTTATTACCCCTTGGTGATAACACAGATGGTATTCTCAATGGAATTGGTCTGAGAAGTATTTCCTGTTGGGTAAATTCTTTATACAAGCCAAATGATATATAGTGATTGAATGTTTAAAAAAATAATAAGAATAGCTCTTTGCTGCACTACTGTGAGGATGAAGACCATTCTCAACAGCCAGACCATCAACATTCCCAAGAACATCAACATCACTCTGAAGGGACACACAGTTATTGTGAAAGGTCCCAGAGGAGCCCTACGGAGGGACTTCAATCACATCAATGTTGAGCTCAGTCTCCTTGGAAAGACGAAGAAGAGGCTGCAAGTTGACAAATGGTGGGGAAACAGAAAGAAACTTGCTAACATTCACACTATCTGTAGTCACGTCCAGAACATGATCAAGGGTGTTACAATGGGCTTCTGCTACAAGATGAGGTTTGTGTATGCTCATTTCCACATCAATGTCATTATTCAGGAGAATGAATCTCTTGTTGAAATCCAAAATTTCTTGGGTGAAAAATACATCCAGAAGGTTCAAATGAGACCAGGTGTTGATCGTTCAGTATCTCAAGCCCAGAAATATGAGTTGATCCTTGAAGGCAATGATACTGAACTTGTTTCAAATTCAGCTGCTTTGATACAGCAAGCCACGACAGTTAAAGATAAGGATATAAGAAAATTCTTGGATGGTATCTATGTCTCTGAGA